TGGCCAGCCCCCAATGGGCCCTCACCACCACCCCGATGGTCTGCGGCCCCTCCCCGCAGGCAGCTCCACCCCCGATCGGCCCCCCACTCCGATCAGAGGCAGGGCCAGTCGGACCCCACCCGTGCAGGAAATCGTGCACTGGGCCTCTAGTTAAGATAAGGATGCTCTGACCCTCCCTGCACAAGGCTGCCTTTCCCGAGTAAACCTGCTGGCCTGCTGGGCACAGTGTAGGTGCACGTGTAGCACAAGAGATGGCCACAGTGCTGGCCCCGTGGCTGTCCCTTATCCTCCCCCGCCTTCTGACAGGAGGCCGCCAGGTTCTTTCCCTCGGCCACCTGAGTGCGGAGGGCAGCCGTGGCAGGTCTGGTTGTGTCTCTTATGACCAATGGTGGTGAGCATTTTCCATGTGTCTACTGCACACAGCCTCTTGGAGAAAGTGTCTTTTCAAGTTTTTTGCCCATTTTTTATTTGGACTGCCTTTTTTTCCAACTTGTATGCGTTCTTTATATACTGGTATATATTCTGGATACAAATCCACAGATACAGGTGTTGCAAATACGGGTTCCCTGTCTGCGCAGTATCTTTGTTAAGAGCAGAAACTTTACATTTGGTGAACTCCAATGTATCCATTTATTTTAAGCTACAGCTTTTGAAAACTGAGAAGGAGGCGTGAGCTAGAACTGACACCCAGGGGCTGAGTGGCGAGCTGGCCCCCGGACCGGCAGCCTCCCTGACCCGCTGGCACCGCCCCACGCGTTCCAAGCCCAGCAGACGGAAGCCAGGGGACATCAGGCTCGAACGCAGCCCTGGGTGAGTTAGACACAGCCCGGCACGTATCCGGCAGCTGCACGCGGCCGGGCGCCCCATTCAACTACCCTTGCATTCCCCGTATCCCACGGGTGGGAAGAGGCACAGCCCACAGCGCTTGCCCTCTGCCGTGCCCGCCTCCAGCCTCGCGGTCAGGTCCGCGTTAGGAGCGCAAACAGCATCTCATAGATCCCGTCCTCAACAGTAGGAAGATTTTCCATAATGTTTAGTTACATGGGAAGCATGCTAACCTGCTTATGTTACACATTCTAACCTGCCTAGGGCTTAGTGCAGATTTATAATCACTGCAAATTTCTGTGTCGCGAGGGGCCCACACCGGGCAGGGCAGCACCTCACACACAGCGACAGAGGGGCAGCACCGCAGGAGCGAGGGCACGAAGGGCCGGCACTGGCAGTTCTGCAGTCGGCCCTCCCGACCGCCCGCGCCCTGGCCTCCTCGGTGCCACGGGAGGAGCAGCAAGG